ATAATTTTGAATTTTGATAATTTATAACTTATTTGAAATTGATAAATTTAATTTTATAATTTGTAACTTCAAGATAAATACTTGTAAAAATTACCTTGCAATTGGATTAATAAATTAATAAATATTGAAAATATGGAATAAAAATTATAAAAATAATTATTGAATATAAAATATAATAGTTAATAAAGGAATAATGGATATTATAAGATTAAATACTTAACTGTATAATTGTATAATATTATTATTTTTAAGTTAATAAAATTAATTACAAACTATTATTATAAATCCTGAACTTGAAATAATATTTAATCTGGATAAATGAAAATAATACATAATGATAATAAAATTGAAAAATAACTAATGGATTGATATTAATACTAAAAGTAATAATAAACTTGAAAAGATATTGGAATAAATTGGATGAAAGATCTGATTCCTTTTTTAAAATAACTGAATCAGTAGTACCTTCTAAAATAACTGAACAGTCTTACCTTTAGAAAAAGACTATAAACTCATTAAAAGAATTGTTAAGTCACTTTACTAATTTGTCTTTAAAGGAATCAGGAACCATTGATGACAACGTGAATTTAATATTTATATAATTAATTAGAATTGATATCATGATGTGTCAAAAAGAAAGGAAAGAGCATTGGCATCTAATAAAAGATAATTTGTATTTTATTGTAATATGTATTGAATTAATAAAAGAAATACAATGATACATTTAGAAAATATCTAAAATTATATTATTAATTTTAAGAAATAATATATATAATAAATTAAAATTCTTTTAACTTTATTATAAATTTTTAAAAATACAAATAATATTAAAATAAATTTTTGAATATTTAAAAATCTTCAAAATATGTAATAAAATTTTAATTAACTTTTATCAAAAAAAAATATAAAAAAAATAAAGATAGAATTTTTGACCTTTTATTTGAAAAATCAAGTTTTACTAAAAGAAAAAAAAGATCAACTCTAGTAATAGCAAAAGTATTAACATCAGCAGCAATATTAATGTTAACAATAATATTATTATTTACAAGAAGAAAAGAAAATGAAATAAAAAATATAATAATAAAGTTGACATCTCCATTGTTAACTTCTACAAAAAAATAAAGAAGAACATAAGAAGAAAGAGAAAAATAATATTTTGAAAATAATTTTTTAAATTTTTTTAATTTTTAATAAAATATTTTATAATATATAATTTATTTTATTAAAAGAGCTTTTTTTAAAAGGAAAAGAAAAGTAAAAAGTGATTAATTATTTAAAAAAAATTAATAAGGAGATTAAAAAATTTCAAATAGACTTTTGAAAGATAACAGAAAATAATAAAAAATTAGATGATATGTATAATCTCACTTTTATCAAAATAAATATTTTATTTATTTTTTACAATAAAAAAAAATATTTTACTTATAATATTTTGAATATTCTGAAAAAAAACAAAATTGTTAGGGAAATTGTAAGTAAAGCAATTTTTAAAAAAATATATTTAACTGATGAAGAACTTAAAGAATTTGTTACAAAATATTTAATGAGCAAATATTTAGAATTTTTCAATGGTTGAAATAACAGATGATGAATATTTTATTATAATTTAACTCTTTAATAAAAAGTAAGTTTTATAAAATTACATTATAATTTAAATATTTTAATAATTAATAAAAGATTTTAAATTATTCAAAGGTGACAAAAAAAATACTGATTTAGAAAGGAAGCTTTGTTTATTCAAACTATAAATTTTATATTTAAGGGTGTTTAAAGATCTTCTATAAATAAATCTGAAAGTATTGTCAAGTCAAATTAAAACTTGGAAAGAATAATATGTGATTAAGTGATATTATGAAAAGTTATATACAAGTATATCAACAAATGATAACAAAACCTGATATAAAAAATCAATTAAATAGCATAACTGAATATTTTGAATATATTAAAAGAACAGATAGTTTTTGTAATGACCTTACATGAAAATTTTCTGAATTCAAATAATGAAATTATTAAAAATAATAATAAATATTTAAATAAAATTTTATTTAAAATTTTATTAATTCTAATATACTAATAAATATATATAATTTTTATTAATAAAAAAAAATAGAAAAAGGTGAAAAATTTAATTTAAGAGAATTTAAATCTAATAAAGAAAATTTTACTATTTTAGATAAGAACAACAGAGATAAAGAAGACAAAAGAAAAAAAATAAAGAAAAAAATGAAGAAAGAAAAGAAGAAGAAAGAAGGAAGAAAAAAGAAAAAAGAAGATAGGAGGAAAGAAAGAAAAAAAAAAAAAAAAAAAAAGACAAGGAAATAAAAGAGAAGAAAAAAGAAAAAAGAGAAGAGAAAAGAAATAATGGAAGAAAAAAGAAGAAAGAAAAGAGGAAAAAAGAGAAAGATTTAAAAGTTTTATTTACAGAACAAAGTATTTTATAAAGATAAATATTAGTATGAATTTTTTATTATAAATAATATAAATATATTATATTGTATTTTTAAAACTTATAAAATGTATAAAATAATTTTATAAGATTGTATTATATAATATTGTAAAATATATTTATTAACAAAATATTCATTATTTTTATCAAAACAAAATATAATATATATAATATTATCTATAATTTCAATTAAAATTAAATTATATAAATCTACTAATTTTAATAGGGACAATAATATAGATACCATCCAAATTCAAAATGTTAAATCCCAAATTTCAAATTCCAAATTCCAAATTATTAATTGCCAAAATTTCAAATCTCAAATTATGCCAAATCTCAAATCCCAAATATTATGAAAATTGAATTTTAATAGTTGAAATATCAAAATAATTTGAAATTTAAGTGATGTAACAAATTTACTAATTCATTGTAGAAAATAAATATTAACAAATATTTATTAGCAAAGTTTATAGTTTATAATTAAATTATTTACAAGAATTGCTTGTATTTTTATTATTCATATGTTATATTTATATAAAAATATATAATTAATATTACATAATATAAATATATAATAAATAATATCTTAAATTTTACAAGACCAATTTAGATGGTTACATATAATAATATAATAAATAAAATAGAATAAAAAAAATAAAATAGAATAGGAATGAAATGATTAACACATGAGATTACTACATATAAATCTAAAATTAATCTCATATACTATTATTCATTATTAGAATAAAAAGATAAAAATAAAAAGAAGTAAATAAATAAAATAAAATAAGAACATTAGGAAATTTTTGAAAACAAATATATCTGGATATTTTTTAGTTTAAAAAAAATTTGAATAAATTTGCAAATTTATGTAAATATATTTGCATATTGGATTTTTTCGATTCTCAAATATCTAAATATATTTAAAAATTATTTAAAAAATTTATAGAATATTTAATGAGAAATGATATTGCATCAGAAAATTTTTGAGGGTAAATATATCTGGATATAAGGTGAATATATCTAAATAAATTTATATGGATATATGTGGATATATACAGATTAATATGCAGTAGTCAGATTTATTTATATATATCAGGATTTATAAATTACAAAACGTAAATAATTCATCATCATTACAATGTAATAACTTTTTATTTTAATAAGTAAATGCTAAATACTACAATAAATGAATTGAAAGATAAGAATGATGTACATCTTTCATAAAAATTTCAGATCTATATAATCAAAATTAAGCAAATTATAAATGATTAATTTTCAAATGAAAATAATTTATTGTGTTCAAAATTAACCACTCATAATTTGTCAGTTTTGATAATATAGATTTGAAATTTTTATAGAAGATATATATTATTCTTATCTTTTAATTCATATAATGAAGCGTAAGATTAAATTATTAAAAAATTTAAAATAAACTGTATAAGAAAAAAATAATAATTAATTTCGTGAAAATATGTATTATTTCATATAAAATTAATATGCATTTAAATATAATGATAATAATGTGTTCCAAAAAACATTATAATATATATATAATATAATAAATATGTAGTAATAATATATTTTTATTTGAAAATAAAGATATTTATGCAATTTGTTGTAATAGAAAAGCAAAAAAGTAATATATAAAGAATTGAAATTCTTTTTACTCTTATTTTAAAATATTTCAAAATTAAAATATTTTCAAATATTAAAAATAATAAAATTTTTAAAATAATTCTTAGAATAAATAAATGTCTCAATCAAATCTTAGTCATTTCTATCAAAAAAAGTAAAAGAGAAATAGTGAATTACTTTCTAAAATAATTTTTGAATGTTCGAAATATATAAAAATAATAAAAATTTCTTCAGAAGTATCTGCTAATTTTGAGAAAAATTCAAGATCAGTACCAAAGTTTGAAATAAATGAACAGAGAGTAAAATTACAAAGGTTCGAAACACCACAACCAGCAATAGTAATTAAATCGTCAGCAGTAACAGTATCAAGATTCAAAATAATTGAATCAGCAGTAATATCACCAGCAACAGAAACAGTAATAGAAACAACAATATCAAAGTTCACAATCAAAAGGAGAAGAACTGAAACAGAAAATATAGAACAGCATTCTGACAGTAATATTTGAAAAAATATCAAATAAAATATTTTAAAACAAATTCTTATTATTTCATTTATTTTAGATAATATTCTGCTAACTTATAAGTAAATATCTCATATTATAAGATATTTAGATAAAATTAACAATAGATAAATAAAAATAGAAAAAGATACTTCGAATTATACTTGCATACAAAATTATTTTGAAATTTCAAAATTACAATTTTGAGAAAAAAAGTTGAAATAGTTTTTTATAGAAGACAAAATTATTTTATTTAAAATTCAAAATTTTTTGACCACACAAATTTATTCTTTAATTGAATATACATATAACTAGATACTTTTTTACTTCTATATATAGAATAGATTTTGCATAAATCTCAAAAAGTTGAAATACTTCAAAAATCCAAAATCAATTTTAGGAATATGTATATTTTGAACATTTGAAGAATGCTAAAAGAAAGTAAAATGTGAGTGAAACGTGATGAAATTTATGATAAGAGTTTTATCAAAGTAAATATTTTATGTATTATTTTTTCATAATATTGATAACTTTTTTATTGATTTGAAATATTTCAAAAAAAGAAATTTGTTATGGAAATTACAAAAAAATCAATTAAAAAGAAGATTTATCTTAGAGATATAATTTGTGAATAACTAATTTATCAATTCGACAGATCATCTATAGTCTTATGAATGAATAAATCACTTTTTCTAAATCTTTCAGATGATCTGAATTGAATAATAAATAATTCAAATTATCTATTAAATCTACAGATTGATAATTTAATTCATAGATATAGAAGTGAAAAAAGTGGATAATATAGAAGAGATAATAATAGAGAAGTGAGTAATATAGAGACAAGAAAAGTGGATAATATAGAAGTGGAAAAGTGAAAAAAGTAAGTTAATATAGAAGTGGAAAATGTGAATAATATAGAAGTAAAAAAGTGTGTTAATATAGAAACAGGAAAAGTGGGTAATATAGAAGTGGATAATAATAGAGAAGTAGGTAATATAGAGGTGAGTAATATAGAAGTGGGTAATAATAAAGAAGTGAGTAATATAGAAATGAGAAAAGTGAATTATAAAAGTGAAAAAGTGTGTAGTATAGAAATAGGAAAAGTGTAATATATAGAAGTAAGTAATATAGAAATGGGAGAAGTGGATAATAGAAGTGAAAAAGTGTATAGTATAGAAACAGGAAAAGTATAATATATAGAAGTGAATAATATAGAAATGGAAAAAATAGATAATATAGAAATGGGAGAAGTAGGTAATAGAAGCAGAAATGTGTGTAATATAGAAACGGAAAAAGTGTAGTATATAGAAGTGGATAATATAGAAACAGGAGAAATGGATAATATAGAAATGGGAGAGGTGGGTAATATAGAAACAGGAGAAATAGGTAATATATAAGTGGAAAAAGTGGATAATGTAGAAGTGGGTAATATAGAAGTGGAAAATATAGAAATGGAAAAAGTAGGTAATATAGAAATGGGAGAAGTGGATAATATAGAAGCAGGGAAAGTGGGTAATAATAGAGAAGTGATAATATAGAAATGGGAAAAGTGGGTAATATAGAAATGGTAATATAAACGGGAGAGGTAGAATAGAAACGGGATATAAATTGAAAAATAATCCACGGATTGGACGGATGATCTGCATAATCCGTGGATAATCCGCGGATTAAAAAAATTAATATATAACGGATGAAAATTTTGATAGTTGTACGGATTGACGGATCGGACGGATCATCCGGATCGTATCACTAGTCTATACCCCTATGAACAGGATAAAAGCCTATACCGAGGGTATAGGATAAGGGTCCTCAAAAAAAAGATTTAGATACACGCGTAAATTTGTAAATTTATTAATAATGGAGGCTTCTACTTACGATTTTTTTTCTGATTTAGTGTCTCTGGACTCTTCAGAGCGACAAACTGCAGCTAGCAGTTTAATATTGCATTTACAAAATAAATATGAAGAACATTTAAAAACAAATTCAAATCCTTTAGAATTAAATGAAAATAATGATTTCGTGGGGTAGGAAATAAATAATTAAATAATATTTTATTCAAGTTCATTACTGATATATGGTTTGAATTATATTCAGAATTACTGAAAATATGGAAAAACTATGTGGGCCAGAAGTAGCATACTCCTTGATCCGTTTGACAAGAGGTCTTGCAAGTTCACGAGAAGCTGCTAGGCATGGTTTTTCATTGGCCTTGATCGAGGTATGATTTTTTTTTACCGATTGCACATTTCATTATTCATTGTGAGAATTTTTAATATCTGATCTTAAAATTTTTATTGAAATAAGCTTCTGGCTGGTTTTGAATGCATCACCTACGAAATTGTGACAACTCTAATCGATGAAGCATGTCCCATTAAGTCAGCTAAAGAACGAGTATATTATAGTTTTAATAATGAACATTCATTGTGTTACAAACATTGTAAAATAAAATTTGTGATCAGAACATAAATAATCATTAATATTCTTTATTCAGGATAATTCTGATATAATTTTTGGAAGAGTCTTTGGTCTTATGGCCATTATTCGATCGGGAATGCTTTGGCGTAAGGATTCTTCTAAAGAGGAATATATGGATGTTATCAATAATCTGATTTTTTGTTCGAAATGTAAGCAATATGTTCGAGAGATGTGTTATCATATAATTATTTCTAGTATCCCACATGTAAGTTCATTCAATTATTTTCAAAAGGGATAAAGAATTGATTATATAAATTAATTGTTTTGATATTATTATTATTATTATTATTATTATAGCTAAAGGATACATCATTTGAGGAAGATGCTTTAGAACATTTAATAAATGTTCTAAAAGAACATAGCAAACATGGTATAAATAATCCCGATGATTTAAATTTGGCACTTGCGATTGAATATCAATATCCGGTAAAGAACGTTATTTTCTCATTTTATAAAATTTGTAAAATTATTTTCCGATTTGCTTACAAATCCTCAATATGATATTTAATTTAGGATATAGTGCAAAATAATGTTTGGAAAAATGTTGTGATGCACAGTTGTGATACTTGTTATATTCAATGGAAAGTTAGCATCATGCATCGAGATAATATAGAAAATATTTCAGAAGCTATCCAAGTATGTATATATATATATATATATATTAAATTATTAACTAAGCAACTCATAGTAAACTTATTTAATAATATATTCTTTTTACGTTAGGCTAAGCCAAGCAAGATAGCAATTGGAATTCATCAAAATCAAGAAAATCGGTTGCATTCTGTTTGGAATTCAATAATTCATTTATTTAATTTAGCACCTGGTGGAAAAATTGGGGAGGATTCAATAGAATTTAGTGATTTTTGGAAAATTGTGGTAGATGGTAAGTTAATCTTATAGATTTTCTTTATTTATAATAATATTATTAATTTCAAATTTAACTTCTCAATTTTAGGCTGTCTTTTTGATGATGAAACACCTTATCAAAGAAAATTCTGGGGATTTCAATTATTTGAAAAAGTAATAAATATTTTTCCACCAGGAAGAATTTCTGATGTATTTACATCCAACTTTATGCGTACTTTAATAAATAATTCTCATGATGATACACGCTATTTACATAAAGCTGCGATACATGTGGTAATTATATTATCAATTAATTTTATAGATTTATAATTAATTTTTATATTAAATTTTATTTTTTTTTATTATTTATAATAGTTAGAAACAATTGAAAATGTTTCAGAAGAAAACAAAACCAAAGCAAATGTCATCGCTAAGTCTTTACTGGGACCAAATTATGATCAAGATTTTGATAAACTCAGTAATACCAAAACTGTAAAGAAGATTTTCAGTACCATGAATAATGAAGCACTTGAAAATTATTTATTTCATCTTAAAGGAATATTTTTGAAATCTAATTATACAGATTCTAGGTAAATTTTTAATGAATTCAAAAAAAAATGTATAAAATGTAAAAAATGTAAAAATAGAAATTATTTCAATTTTACTTAACGTTACCTAATATTACTACTTAATATTATTTAATTACTCGATGTTTACTTAATATTATCTTCATATAGTGAAATTGAACGTCAACGACAGTGGATAATAGAACATATGTATTCAATTTTAAAAGACTCTCAAATAAATCGTTCTGAAGGCTGGATGAAATTTATTTTTGATTTATTTATGACATATGGATTCTTTACTCCAAAAGAAAATCATAAAGTATAAATACATTTATTTCTTTTTATATTTTCTTTTTTTTTCGATTAATTTTGTTATATTAATTTTGAAGGATTATTTTTAGGATGATTCTGATGAAGAAATGATTGTATATAAACCTAAAAGAAGTAATTCAAAAGGATCCCAGAAGATAAAGAAAATCAAGGAATCGAGTGTCATAATTGGAGCTGCTATACCTCCCTTATCCGCTAAAACTCAAGAATATTGTAGAACTCGTTGCTTTCATTCCTTAGGCGAATTGGTTACTACTCGTTCTTTTGAAGCTGGTTAGTTTCAAGGAATTATATTATAATTTTAAATGATATTATTTGACGTTATTAAGAATATTTGAATTTGAGTGTTATCATTTTATTTTCTTATATATAGATTCAGTTCGATCAATGCAAGGGAATATGAGCAATGGGGAATCTTGGGTATATTATGCGGCATGTAAATTAATAGAATTTGAAAATGATCCTCAAGTCGATTCATTGATCGTCTTGAGTGATGAAGTTTTAGAAGTCCAAAGATCCGTTTACAAAATTATGCAACAAATTATTAATGAAAAGGTTAGAAAATTTTACCATTTATTATTATCTTAAAACTTGAATTTATAAATAATAACAAAATATACTTAGTTCAGGAAATCTAAAGAAGAATTTAAAGAATTGAAGAAAAAAACGGTCGATAGCGATTTACATTATGAAGGATTTTTATGGTTGTTTGCCTCCTCAATTCTCACTTTATATAACGAACCGGACGAAGCCATGGATATTTTAAAGGTTAACATTTAAATAATATATGTATCTTTAATATTATTCACAATATTGAAGTACTACTTTCTTTATTCTTAGGATTTGCAATTATGTTATACTAAAATGTTTGAAAAATCGGAAAATTCGAAAAAACTGAAAAAATCCAAAAAATCAAATAAAACTTCTGATGAAAGCTATTTTCACAATCCTGCAGATGTAATCGTTGATATATTGCTTGGGTTTCTTGTAAAACAATCATCTTTCTTACAGAATGTGGTAGAACATACATTCAAGGCTTTTTGTGACATAATTACTAAATCTTCGCTAAATTTGATGTTGGATGTAAGTACGATTTAATTTAGTTGTATTTTTTCAATTGTACTTTTCTCATTTTGGTTTGTTTTATATTTATATAACATTCTATTTTGGGTATTTAGATATTAACTAATAAAGGAGTTGATGGAAATGAATTGATTGAAACAATGGATATCGATGATAGCGATATTTTTGATCAAGATGAAGATGAAGATGAAGATGAAAGTGACAATAATACCGAGGAAGATGATGTTGAACATGATTTTACTAATTTTACTAATACAAACAGTAGTAAAAATGAAATGTTAGAATTCCATAAAGATGAAGAAGATGATGAAAATGATGATAATATTAGTGATCAAGAAAAAATGATGGAACAATTTGACTCCAAGTTAGGTGAATATTTTAAACAACAAAAAATTGAAAAGAAAAAGAAAAAAGGTAATTTCTATTATTTAAATCTATATACTCAAAATTCAATAATTTAAATATATTTTATATTATATTTAATATAGATGCCAAATATCAGAAGTTACACTTCAAACAAAAGATAATTGGACTATTGAAGATTTTTGTTCGAACACAACCCACTAATCCACTTATTTTTGAACTTTTAATTCCTTTACTTGAATTGGCAAAAAGTTTAAAAACTGATGAAGTTGCAAAAAGCATTGATCATTTTCTTAATTCCCAAGTTGTAGTGAGTAAAGAGGTTCCTACCCAATTTGAAGATGATTTAGTACTTGATATAATGCAACAAGTTCATGAAATGATTAATAAGACACGAAATGTAAAATTTGCAATTTCATGTTGGAAAATCAGTACCTACTTATTTAAGTCTTTAGTTCGATGTCACAAAAGTGATGAAAATCCAAAGCTATGTAGTCAATATTCAAATCCATCTATAAAGAAGGCTGTCAATATTTATGAATCATCATATCAAAGATGGTTAACAAAACCTGATTGCTTGCCAACTAAATCCTTCTCACAGTTATTCGATAATATTCCACAAGTTCCATGGCATTTGTCCAAAATATTTCTTGGAGGTACCGACCCCAAGTCTGCCAAGAATCCTAAAAGAGTCATTCTCGCTTATGAAATTTCAACATCTGCCTTCAAACATGTTATTCCAAGGAAAAAAATGGTAAGAATTTGGTTTTTTTTTAAAAAAAAAAAGTGATACATTTTCTAATTTTTCCGAATTCGTTATTATTATTACTTAGGAATTGGCAGATGATAATTCCATAGTTAAACTGATTCAAAAAATGCGTGATTCTCTCAAGACCACCCTTCAATTTATTTCTGACGAACGTGGTGAAAAAACATTTGATGTCCAAGCAATAAAAATAATAATTAAATTTGCTATTCTTGCTATCAAAAGAACCAGTATGTACCTTCCGAAAGAGAAAGTAAGTACAACTACTTGAGTACTATATTTGTTTAAATTTTTAATAATAAAATAATTAAAATGTTTATGGTAATAATTATTTTGTCTGTATAGTTAACCGTTGCTTGGGATGCAACCAATCTTTTATCAATATTAAAGAAAATCAAAGAACTTCCAAAACATAAATCTTCACAGGTCATTAAAAATTTGGTTAATGAAGTTAGAGTTCTTTTCCCCAATATTAGATTATAATATAATTTTGGTGTATCATATGTAAATGTATTTCAGAAAATTTTGTATGTTTAATTTATTATTGTTATATTTTACCTGGGTGAATATTAAATGTTTTGGTAGTGAATCTGATTCCTAATTTAAATTAAATAAAATATAAATATAATTTATAAATATATAATATGTTTAATTTTTTTTTCCACGCGTTTCCATTATTATGAGTATTTGCCGATTCCTGCAGATCAGTTCTGCCTTCAGCCGAATTTGTATCATATATTTAGACTCTTTCTATATTAGGTTAATTACGTAAATATGATTGTAATTTGATCGCTTAAACCTAGGACTTTCAAATTACGATTATAAAATTAAATTTTGATTATAATTTAAATAGGTATTTAATATGGCAAGCCAAACATGACAAAAGTCGGGAGTTAGATCACACATGTACAGTATGTGAGGTTTAATCCTGATGCATCGGTGATAAAATCACACCTGGAAAAATTCTGTCACCGATATATCGGGGATTTACCCTGATGCATCAGTGATAAATCACACTTAGATGTATCTGTGATAAATTTTTTCTAAGTGTAATTTTATTACCAATGCATCTGGATAAATTACAGATGTATTGGGGATTTGACTCAGATGTATCGGTGATAAAACCACACTTATAAAAATTTTATCACAATTAATATCAGAGTTAAATCACACTTGTAAGTGAGAAATAAACTTATCGGGATTTTATTACAGTTATAAAAAATTTTACCACAGATAAAATTGTATTAACCCGATATGTCTAAAATAACCCCTCGCGTAAATATTATTCAAATCAAAGATTGATTAAGAATTTAATCTTTAAAAAGATATTAGGAAAGTGTGTCTATGTACCTTCTGGCAATAATAGTCAGTGCAGATGCCTTCGTTTTCGTGCTTCAAATGATCAATATATTTGTGTCGCGTGTAATCATGATGAGTCTTATCACGAGCTTAATAATAATAATAATAATAGTGCTGCTAGTAGTGATAATAATAATCATCCATCGATTAATAATCAGATTAATACTAGTAACATTCGAGATCAATTAAATACTATTTTTCGGCCAATCAGACCTGAAAACAGTAATATCGTTCCAATTTTCAATCCAAGCGAAGCCACTGGAAGATATTTTTTCAGAAACAATAAGGGAAAAAGGAAAAGAGTTGATGTTCCTGATATATTGAACCTTACAGCTACTGTATTCTGTTTTAATGAAACAGATTCTAATGAAGAATCTTTAAAAATTCCATGAAGTGGAGGAAATCAGTAAGTTCTCTATTTATTATATTTTTTATATTTAATTATTTAATTTAAATATACTAATTATTTTTACCTTAGACATAAAAAAATGATTAGAGAAGGCCATATTAGAGAAGTGACCTTTATAGGAACTAATACTGATGTTAGACTTGTAGATACAAAAATAGAATCTGAATTTACAATTTTAAGAAATAAAAATTGGATAATTTATCGACCTAGTTGTAATGATTTATTTCCAATTGAAAAAAATGATAATCCATACACGATCTCAATAATCACACGGTATTTAATGTTATATTTTTCAAATATTCCTTTTTGAAATTCTTTAATTTTATTTTTATTAAAAAACATTATATAGAATTTCAGGAGCTAGAAAAAAACTTTATATTGGATTAATTAATAATGATATATTTAAATAATGACTAATATTTATAATATTATTAATAATATTATTAATTTATTATTTATATTTATTAATTTATTATTAATTATGATATTTTATTAATAGAAGAAGAATTAGTGGTTTCTAGTTCTTCATATAATATTACAGGTACTTTTAAATTAATAATTACATTTAAATTATAATTATATATAATAATATCATTACTATATATAATATTATTTATAGAACAACATGAAGAATCTTCTAGTTCATCATACAATAGAACAAGATTTGAATTACAACATGAGGGATCAAGCTCTTTACACAATAGAACGAGATTCGAATCACAACAACTTGATAATGATAATTATGAATTATTTAATGAATTTAATAATAATTTTGAATTAAATGAATTCAAAAATTTTAATGATGACCATTTAACTATTTCACCTTCAAATTTTCAATCAAAATTTTCTAACATGACTGATATTTTTAAAAATATTAGAAAATTTTTAAGAGAGCAAGAAAATATTACTGAAAAAGTTACAACCATTGTTCTTGCTAAGAGTGATAATCCTATTATAGAGATTTTTGATTGGATTCAAAAATGCAATAACCAAAACATTATTGGATACACCTGAAATTAAATTAACTAATGAAATGCAAGTTAATTTATATATTATTTATTATTATTATTATTGATATATTTATTATAATTATTATTATTAATATGTATTTAAAATAATATATAATGTAGAGGTGTAGATGTCGGTAGAATCATTCACGATGTTTTACAAAATTTTTGGAATCTTTTGGCAATTCCAAATAATTTTAATCAAATATTTATGGCAGGAGAAATGTTTGATGAATGTACAACAGGATCACTTATTATAGTTCCAAATTCAATTCTGTTAGTACATTACAATGCATATTACCATTTAGGTCATTTAATTTTTTGGTGCTTGATTCATGAATTACCTTTTCCAACTTGGTTTCATGAATTTCATTTTTTTTTTTTTTTTAAAAGTTTCAGCAAGACTTTGCCTCAAATTTATTAACTAAAAAAAAGAGAAAGTCTCGGTTTCATGAATTTCATTTAAATTACATTATGGATATTCCATTAAATTATAATACTTTATTACAAGAAATAAATACATCTATAAATGATATGATTGAAAAAATTAAAAATTGTGAAAATAATATTGATAAAATATTAGAATTAAAAGAATGGGCTTTAAATAGAAACATTCAGATATATTTTTATACAATAAATTATTTTATCTATTTTCTAATTAACTTATATTATAATCTAATTGTATTTTATATTTAGTTTGACCATTTACATAATCTAAAATTAGAAAATTTAATTTCATTTATAATTAATTATGAAATAATTACAATTCGAGAATTGGAATTGATCCAATTATCTAAAGGCTTTAATATGTTTAATTGTGTTCAGGTAAATATAATATATTTTTTGTATTTATTATAATTTTATTTTAATATTAATATTAATATTATATTAATATTATTTGTTAAAATTATTTAAATATTAGTACATAAAACAAAATTATGATTGGACCAATATTTTATTTTCATTATACAAGGTAGTTACAACAAAAGAAGAACTACTACAACAATTTAATTTTGATGCTATCCTTTCTGATGTTAATGAAAACAAGGAATTAAGAAAACCATTATTTACAAAATTTTAGTTATTTTTAAATGAATTGGATACAAAAGAAAAACGTCAATTGTATTAAAATTTATTATTAGAAGTATTAGAATTCCAACACGCAGACAAATTGTGATAAATTTTATTAATTACTTATTAAAATAATATAATTTATAATTAAATTTATTTATTATAGATTCAATGGAGTACAGTGCAGGACACTTAGAAACGCTAATAAAACTAGCCACCTTTAAATAGTAAAGGATCAGTATACAAATCGAGTACAAGAAAAAGAAGGCCGTTATTTTGTAGTAAATTGGTGTGGCTACAAAACACCAGCCTCCTTTTTAAAAAATAATGACTCATTTTTGATTAGTAGTTGTTTAAAAATATACAATTTTAATATTATCGATTGTCGGTGGGACACATATTTATAATAACGTGACCATGGTCGACCAATAAAATTTCGTATTTTGATTACGTTAACAGATATAATTTTCAAAACCAAGCTTTAAATCCAAAATCATGCCCAGAAAAAGAAAAAACACCAGGTTTCTTCAGGTTTATAATGATAAAAGGAAACGGATAGCCCAGAAAAATAATAAAAAAGAAGCAGGGAACATTCAGGAAGAACAAATTTCAGAAGATAGTGATTTTGACAGACAAGAGGAGGAAAATGAAGAAAGCAAAGTTGAAGAAGAGGAGGAGACGCGCACACGCTTACTTACCACGGCTCTCATATGGAAAGGTCCAGAAAAAAAAAACACAAGAACAATAAAAGGTGTACCAAAGACAACCTATTATCGTAAGTTTAGTGCCTCCAGTACATTTACCAATGCTACAAAGAAAATTCATAAAATTACCAGTTTTTTTGAATCTACCGTTAAGTGTTCGGATAATTTAGCAACTGAGTCTTCAAATACATACTTGGTGTCTTTGGTGCCTTCAACATATTCAGCATCATTAGAGTTTTCAACAGAATTAGACGAGAATGAAACAACACCTGTTGCACTTTATGAAGTAATTGCTCAACTTCGGGAAGACCTTCTAAAGAATGGACAGATATATATAGCCATAGAATATAATGAACGACAGGTTATCTACAAGTATTTTATATGGCTAAATAATAGTCATAGCAAGATTAATGCAAGTCAGGAGGCTGCAAATATGGTTTATATTTTACTGAAACCACACAAATATAAAAGAATTCACATTCTGGTCAAATTTTATATGTACCATAAATCACTTTCACTTTTTAATCATGGCCATTACCAAAAACACAAACGTTTTATTGATGATAAAGGCATTGCATTGAAATATCAACAATGGATATGGCAAGAATCGGGGTTAAATGGTATTAATTTATCTAAATTTCAGGAATATATTAATAACGTTATTTTGCCAGGGTGTCTAGAAGAAACCAAGAAATCGATCAGTTTATGAATGGTAAGGAGATGGTTGAATATTTTGAGATATAAATTCGAAGAATACCGAAAAGGAATATACTTTAATGGCCATGAACAGAAAGATGTCGTAGAATATCGAAATAAATTTTTACAAGAAATAAAGGATTTGAAATGACGAATGACCAGATATGAAGAGTCAACAATAGAACCAATTTCACCAATGCTTGGGGTATATGAGTGAAAATTAATTCTTGTTACTCATAATGAGTGTGTTTTTTATTTGAATGATGGAAAGAGAGGAATTTGAGTATCAAACGGTGTCACCAGTGGTCCTTGATTTTCTCAAAAACCACCTGATAGATTGACTTAACAGTTCTTTTAAGGAGTTTATAGTCCTTTCCCGAAGGTAAGACTGTTGTTTCATTATTTTAGAAGGCACCACTGAT